TACGGGAGAGACAACCCAATTCACTATCGTTAAAATTTAGTTTACAAATTACAATCAACTTTGCAGAAGAACCAGTAAATAGTAAACTAATTAAAAAGAGAACCACCTCTCTACAATCCCGCTAGAGATGAACACCTCCTCTGAACAAATCAAAGGATAAACACCTCCCCTGAACCAATCAAGGAATGGACAAACCTCCTTAGAATCCCACTAAGGATGAACACCTCATCTGAACAAATCAAATGATGAAAAACACCTCCTTTCCAACCAACCCACAAAGGATGAACACCTCCCTAGAATCACATTAGGGATGGACACCTCCTCTGAACAAATCAAAGGATGAAAACACCTTCTTAGAATCCCACTAAGGATGAACACTTCCCTAAAATCACACTAGGGATAAACACCTCCTCTGAATAAATCAAAGAATGAACAACTCCCCTGAACCAATCAAGGGATGAACAAACACCTCCCAAAAACAAGGGATGAAACAGAAACAAAAACACATTCAATTAAATAAGAACAATTACACCTGGTAATGGAGACAACAAATTGTAGAAACCTGTAGAATGTCAACCTCCAAGAACAAATGTGATTAACAATGAAAACACAGAAGACAATAGGGAAAAGTGTTATCTCAGAAAATGCAAAATATCTATGTTGTCTGCTCATAATGATTTTCTTAAAACTTAATGTCTGTAAACTGTATTTTCGAATTCTGTGATTGTGTATATTTTATTTTTCATCAAAACTCATTTAAATAGGAAAATAACATAAGAAAATAGTCGTTGGTCATTAATAATTTCGTAAAGAAAAATCAGGATGTATAAAAAAACATTTATTCTTCAAAAATGGATATATTTTCAAATTTAAACTGACATAATCGATTATGTTACCAGTATAATCGATTATGACAGAGAGAAAATCTATTTTTCATTTCTGATGCATCATAGAGATTATTACACTTATATAATCGATTATGTGACCAGTGGATCCTACATTCCATAAAAAAGATCTATCTTTGACACCATATAATGAATAAGAATGGGTTTCTCCTTGACTTTTGTGGTGAATGGCTAAAAGTCCTTATCAAGGCTTGATCTCTCTCCCCTTTATTTTTATTATCAAATATTGTAGAGTTTGTTGGAGCTCTTCATTTTTTCTAACGTAATTGATCTTGCTCCCTTTTGGCTACTTTAGTATTTTGTCGAGCTTCTTCATTCTGTCTCTTTACTCCTTCATCATCTTTGATATTTGTTGTATGACCAGGAATTGTCATTTCATTAGACTGAGAATTCACTCTTATCCCCTGCATTAGATCACTTCTTCTTCACGTGTGGTAGGAAATAGTTTAATGTGTTTCTCACAAATAATGTCAAATGTTCTAATCAAAATATTCAAAGACTTTAACTAGCTCTGATTAAATAGAATAAAATCTGTTTAAATCTCACTTTGATATAATTCTATTGGGTTGTACCCTAATGATGTAATATTATATGCCTTAAATTATGTGATTCTCACGAGACAAAATTTATAACAACAATCTTTGATTATAGACAAAATCTTGGAATAATACAATATTTAGATGAAAAAAATTTATTCTCGTTGGCCTATTACCAAATACACATATAAACATAATCCCCATCAAAATTTGAACACTATAATTAGATAAAAATAATTAATAATTAATAAAATATAAATTAATAATCAACCACCACTTTATCTATGTAATTACCTATTTTAATAAAAATAATCTTATCACAATTAAAAATACTTATATTTATTACATAATCCATCTTTTTCTCCATGTTATATAACATTATTTTATTAAATATTTTATAAATAATAATGCAAATGTTTTATCTTAAAAGTATAATTTAAAAATTAATAAGTATTAAGTTATATTTTTTTTAAATATAACACAATATAAAATACAAACATTATACAATAAAGTTTATGATTCATTATATATAACTTTTATATTACTTTTGACCTACTTAATAATAATAAAAATATAATGAGTATCAATCTTATACTACATATAATTTTTTTAAAAATAAGTACTTTTGAAAATACATTTTTTATAGTATTAGTACTTTTGTGTCTTAGAGGATATAAAATGTAAATTCACTTATGCGTATTTTCTCTTCATGTGGACATATGCACATCCTTATGACCATTTTTTGCAATTCTTTTTTCTTATAACGCGTTTCACACCTACCTTACCTTGTGTAACTATACTCCTGTGGACAGGCTTTTTTTTTCTTTCAAGCATCACGCTTTTATAAATGGATTTTTTACATTTTTTTTAACTCGTCTCACATCATAATCGAAACCACGAGTAAAGGAATCTTTTATGAATTTTTTCTTCTTTTAATTTACCTACCCCACATTGTGTGCATTTACTATTTTTTTAATAAATGTATATTCTTTTATGTTAATTTATTTTATTTATTTAAAATTATTATTTTTATGATTAAATTAATAGTTGTTGATTATAAAATAAAAATTATTAGAGAAATCTATTCATTGTTAACTATGATCACTTAATTTTTACTTATTGAAGTATTTTGTTTTTATTTATAGAATAGTTTTTCTTAGCTAATATAATTTATAGATATATTGTTTAATTTGTTACTCAATCAAGCTTTATTCCATGTCAGTACCAAAATATATTATAAATTATTAAAAAACTAAAAACAAAAATGATATGAAATTATATAAAAAATAAATATTATTAACCAATTTTATAATTAGTAATATGTGTGACTTACTTATATCCATAAATATAAGACTAGGGATGATAGGGGTTCTTCTTAGGCTATTATGTCCATGTGTCTGAACTAGCTTAAAGGGTCTTTTGACGAACTCAGTTCTAATTAGACTCAATACATATTATGTATTATTTAAAAAATGTTTTTTGCATAATTATGCATCAATTACACAACTTTTAACTCAATAAATAATGTTTTTATATTATTTATATTACTTCTTAATTCTATAATTTAGCTTTATACAATATTGCTAATAGTATATTATGTCAACAAATTAGATTGAACCAAGGTTATTATAAATATTATCAAGCCTTGATAGGGTCAAATTAAGAATGAATATATTAAGTAAAGTGGAAAATTACTTTTTTTTTTTTCAGTTTTCATAAAAAAATTGGTCATGATTTTTTTATTATTAATTCTATTTATAAATACAACGTGTGATGTGATGTCATGACATCGTTACATATAAAAAATGACATCATAAAAATACTACCTTAATATTATTAAACTTCGCCTATGAAATAAAAAAGTGACACATATTACATATTAAACTAAAAATAATAATATATTTACATGGATTAAAATAAAAAAGGAAACACACTCGTAAGAAAAATAAGTTACATATTTACATAACTAAAAAACGCACTTATACGGTATAAAGTAAAAATAACATTTTAAAAAACTGAAACATTAAATTAAAATTAATTGATAAATAAAATAAATAATGAAAAATATAAATTTGATTAGAAACAATAAACTTTTCTAATACAAGTACTTAATAATTAGATTTGAGAAATAATTAAGAAAAAAGATATATATAAATTATCTTCATCTTAACTCTTAAATAATACTCTTAAATAATACGTAATTTTGTATTAAAATTAAAAATGTCCTAAATAATACGTGATTTTATATTAAGAATTTGTATTAAGAATTAAAAATATCCTAAATAATACGTGATTTTATATTAAGAATTAAGAATGTTCTGATATATATCTGCTATAAAGAAAAAAATATATCAATTATTTTTAATCTCAACTATAATTATATAACTTAAAAAAAAGAATATATATAAATTATTTTTTATTTTGGTTCTAAGTTATGTGAAATTACTAAAATAATATCATGTATATTTATATTGATGATTTGCTTATAAATTACTTTCCCAATCATTATATTTGTTTATGAAAAAATTGTCTAAATTAATTAGTTTTGATAAATTTGTCTTTGTAATAACGTTTATTATTACTAAAAGTAATTGTATTAGTAATTTGAATTTGGATTTACATTTACTAAAAACTCCATTAGTAATTTTTAGTATTTTATAATAATTATCAATTTTAGTAATATTAATTGTTAGAGTTTAAATATGCTTTTATAACTTTTTTATATAAATCTGTCACGTTTTTTTTTTCTAAAAAAATTCTACCACTTTATTTTTATTTTGATAAATTTATAATTTTATTTGTGTTGAACTTGATGATATTGTCATCCTATAAAACATAATTATATCATAATAATATTGTCACTGTTACACTTAAGAAAAAAAATTATCCGTAAGAATTTTTTTAAGAAATCATTAAAAAATTCGTATTTTGGCTTTAATTTTTACATATATATTTTATTATCTTTCAATTCTTGTATTTTTTAATCTAGAATTTAAAATTTTAAAACTTAGTCATTAATTAATATTTATTTTAACATAGATAATATAATTTATGTCACAAATTTTAAGAATTTTTTAAAGGTGTCACACGTTAGGATTATATAAAATACTAATACGTGTTTTTTAAATAATTAATTAATATCTTTTATAGTATATAATATTAATTAGTGTAATATGTAACGATCCTATTATTTGTAAAATAGAAAATATAACATATGAAGCGTATTTATTTTAATTTTATATTTTAAAATTTAAAATTTTATTTTTTAACTTTAGAGAACCAAGACACAAAATGAAGAAAAGTTTTTATTTTTTAACTTTAGAGAACCACGACACAAAATGAAGAAAAGTTTTACAGAAAACAAGGTAAAAGATTAAAAAAATGTTTAATTCTAAAATAAAAAAAAAATCCATTATTGAAAGACAAAAATGTTTTTAAAATAAGTTTACGGTATTAGTCTTGGTTGTTCTCGGAAGCAAAGTGCAGTTAACATTTTTTTCCAAGGAAAAGTAAGTATACAAAGAGAGTGACATGACGGCAGAGGCAACGGTCTGATGCAATGTGCGAACGGTGATGGTATACACCGCGAAGCACTAGATCTGCGGGCCGTGACCTCTCCGAACTCCATACTCCAACTCGCTCATCCAACTCAACACTCTCACTCACTGCACCACCGTGCTCTTTTCTCTCTCTTTTCTCCGTGATTTCGTTTCCATGGATCTTTCCTGATTGTTCAGATCCAGCATGGCCAACTTCCTCGCTCAGTTCCAGGCAATTAAGAACACCTCGGATCGCCTCGTCATTTCAGGTATTTCATCATTACCTTCGTCTCAACGGTTTGTAAGCGAAGATCCAATCTCCTCCGTTCTCTCAGTATCGCTCGTGGTTTCCAAGCATTGTGCATATTCGCAATCACATCGAAACGCTCCTTTTCTTTCCGTTTTTATCTTTAAAAGAGCTTTGTATGAGTTTTGGATCGTAGTGTAGGGCTTTAGTTACGTTTCACTGCAATTTGTTTGCCTGCCCCGGTGATATTACTATTGTCAATAATTATTGATGTTAATCATCAAAATTAGGTGAAATCCTAACAATCGAACTTAGTAACACTTCAATTTCAATGGATTGTGATGATCGTATTAAGGTAAAGATAAGAGAGGTCCATTGGCAACTACAAAATAATCTCAACTGTTCTCACTGTTGACAGTGACTAGTCGCATGGAAGCAGAAACTTTAATTCAAAATAGATGTAGTATTATTGATCTAGATGTGTATGTATGTGACCTTAATTTTGATGCTTTATGAAAATGATTCTCAGTGGAGGATGTGAGTGACTTGTGGCCAACTGTCAAACCTGCTTTTGAGGGGCGTTTGCCGTTCAAACGGGCTACTTTGAATAACAAGACGCGGAACCTTGTCCTTGTTGAGAAATTGCCAGCCGAGTTCATATTAACTACAGATTCAAGATTACGCAGCCGGTTCCCTCAGGAGCAATTTTTATTTTGGTTTCGCGAGCCTTACGCAACTGTTGTACTTGTCACCTGTGAGGTAATGTGAATTCCGGTTGTTTATATTGTTTAGGTTCTAGTGGAAAGTTGCATGTTTTAATAACATCTTATGTTAGATGAGGGAGGTCCACTGTGATTTTTACGACAGTTTGTAGCTTTCTGTTACAATTTGATTCATTTACTCCTTATGGATGCTTGGCATATAACCTAGGAAGTGTTTGGAAAAGCTTTTACGAATCTTATTTGGTGGTATGACCTTAATAAAAACTCTTTTTAGCTCATTAAGAAACCTCATGATTAAGCCCTCATGTGACAGGCTTTTATTGTATTAGTTCTTAAATAAGTCGTTTACTCAAACTCGGCATTAGTGATGCTACATTTTGTGCAATTGAATGGAAGAGAAAAAACGTAAGTAACAGGTAAATAACATGCAAAGAAAATTGATTCCATTCTTAGCAAGGAAAGAAAGGTTTTACTGGGTTAGTGAATATACTATAATTGGAGTCATTTGATAAAACTGATTACATAGAAAGGTACTTTTATTTTTACTTTTGATAAGAAGAATTTGTAATGGCTTATCCCTTTTCTGTTGGGAAAAACAATATCTCTCACCAAATATAATATTTTGTCTGTTCTAGATACATTCTTGGGTTTGTACTTACTTTTGAGCTTTTAGTTAGGATGACTGGGTTCTTACATGGTATGCAGCCTTTTTAGTTAGGGAGCTAAAATTTGATCCTTGTTAATCCTTTCTTATAATTATATTAGCACAAGGTAATGGTGTGTGTATTCTTTGTCCAAGCTTCAATTCCGATGAGCTTTAATGTCAAGTGCTTTCTTAGGGAAAAACAGCATTTTTGAATTTGCACCTAACTTCTTTAGCTTTTATGATTACAAGCTGCATGATATTCTTTTTATTTTCTTTAAAATTTTCAGTCTTCAGATAGTTGCTATCATGAATCCATTTCAATTAATTGGATTTTGACTAGGTTTGCGTCTGTGTGCATTTCTTGCTCACCATTTGTAATTGTTGTTAGCATGAAGATTGTATTTTAAATGCCATTGCCTTTTTGTTATGTTGAATTAGCCTGATGATGCCCTGATGTCCTGATGTTAGTTTCCTTGTTTCTTGTGAAAAGCATTTCTATTTTTTTTACCTGTTTTTGGGAGTTTTCAAATGTTGGAACAGAAATTATTGTTAATCTGATGACAAAATCCATTGTAACAGTTTATTGCACGGATTGAATCATTAATTGGTGTATGACTATTATGTTGAATTAGGTCGATTGTGGTTTGTTTGCTTGCTTGTAAAAAACAATACTGATATTTTTTTACCTATTATTGGGAGTTCTTCAAATTTTGGAACAGTAACTACTGGTAATCTGACGCCAAAATCCATTTTAAGAGCTGGATTTTATAGATTTAAAGTTTTTGGTGTATAATCATTTAACTTATTATTTCATCTGTGGGATCTATTGCATAGTTTAACTCTTAATTTTTATTCCCAGGATTTGGATGAGTTCAAAACCATTCTTAAACCACGCCTGAAATTAATTGTCCAAAATGATGAGAGGGAGTGGTTTGTTGTATTTGTATCTAAAGCTCATCCAGCTAATGATCAGGCAAGCAAAATGGCGAAGAAAGTATATGCTAAACTCGAAGTTGAGTTTAATACCAAAAAAAGAGAAAGGTAGCTTGAAAAATTAGACTTGCAACAAGTGCACACTTCCCCAACAGACGTTTGAATGTCTTGGTTGATAGTTTGCCAATCTATTTTTTTCAAGTCAATGTTTTGTCAACTTTTTCATTGATATTACAGAATATGATCAACATGTAGGAATCTGAACAACTATTTAGTTAATGTTTTCTTATTATGAACTTGATTGGAAAATATAAAAAAAGCATAAATGATGCTTGGAAATTTAGCTTCAAGGTTCAATGTTATAGTTTCTTTCAATAGGATTATTTGATCAATACTGTCTTCTTTCTTCTATAAATATATATTAGGGAATCAACTGTTTTACATTACAATGAAACATGCAAGTGGTTGAAAATTTTGATGGTAGAGTTAGGAAAAAACAGATTGATAGTTACCAAACAGAAATAATAATCATTTAGTGAAAGATAAAAGATTTGTTATTCAAGTTTAGGTTCTTTTTAATTTCATTACTGACAAAACTTAATTTCCTTCCCTTAATGACAATTTTATTTCCTTCTCTTTTGATGCTTTTAAACGGTTTCTTCCTCATCTAGATGTTGCAAATATGATATACATTTCCCTGAAGCGAACTTTTGGGAGGATCTAGAATCAAAGATAATGGAGTGCATCAGAAATACTCTCGATAGACGTGTACAATTTTATGAGGACGAGATACGAAAGCTCAGTGAACAGCGACTCATGCCAGTCTGGAACTTCTGCAATTTTTTCATTCTGAAGGTTGGTGCTAATTTGATGAATTATACTTAAAAGTCAATAAATGATTCTGACTTCTGAAAGTCCAACCTTTGTTTTTCCTCTATAAATTTCCCCTTTCTTCATATTCTAGAAGCTTTTGGAGTCTTTTAATAAATTTGTATTCTGTGCTCAGGAAAGCTTGGCTTTTATGTTTGAAATGGCTAACCTTCACGAAGATGCGTTACGGGAATATGATGAGCTAGAACTCTGCTATCTTGAAACAGGTGCTTGATGCTTAGTTTCCTTCTCTGTTGCTGTTGTAGCCAAGTAAAGTTGATGCTTTTAGATTGACAATTCTATGCTTTTAACCCCCTTTATGGAACATTATATCTCGAGTCTGACAAACAATTTCCTGTGAACAATGAAAATTGATTCAAATATGAATGATATGAATGCAGTTAACATGACTGGAAAGCAGAGAGATTTTGGAGGGGCTGATCATGGTGATGATCAAGCAGCATTGGTTAATCCAGGAAGTAAAGCATTGACACAGATAGTTCAAGAGGACTCATTTAGGGAGTTTGAATTCAGACAGTATCTATTTGCATGTCAATCAAAGGTTTGCCCTGCCCAGAGCACTTGTATAACACTAAACATGTTATCTATATTGGCAGCTTAGCTGTAAAACAAATTTAGATTGATTTTGCCATATTGTGTTCTTTGATGTTTATAAGCTTAGTTGCTTCTTTGCTTGTTGTATTTATGATATGATATGATTTAAGATCATGGTTCTCAAAAATTGGATTGGACAAGCCTGTTCAATCTGAAAGGTCCCCTGTCCGGTTGAATTGTTGTGTATATCGGTGATGCACAAAATTGGGCGAACTGGTCCATAAACCAGCCACACAAGTAAAAAATCAGTTCAACAAAAAATAATAAATTACAATTTTAACTTTTTTTCTTTAAAAAAAAATCAACAAAAGATATTAGTCATTTTCTTTTTTATTGTACATTTAAACTTCTCATTATTCATAGATGTTGCTGTATATTACTGAAATTCCACTTTAAACGAGATACACTTTAATTTAAACTTTAATATGCATTTTAAATGGTAAGAGCCTACTAATGTAAGTTTTCTTTAAGTTTTTAGCATCATAAAATAATGATATTATATATTTTCTAATATTGTTTTGTGTTTTAATTATTTATTTATTTTATTAATATTGATTTGGCCCTAATTCGACCCCGACTAAACTATTAAACCTTGAATTGAGCCTTGACCAATTTCATGACTAGTTAAATTTTAAAAACATTCAAGGTAACATTCTATAGATCCGACTGAATCTTTTGCATTCAATTAAAATAGATAAAAAATAATTTGGTTGAAAAAATGAAAAATTTGTAGTCTATAAAATAATATGCTATTGGAAAGCCAGTTTTTTTATAAGATTCCCTCATTGTCCCTCTTGCATGCCAATATATGCACCCTGGTAGCCTTTGCATAATCACAGCAAGTGTTTGATTGTTCAAATGCTTTATATAAATGTCAAGACTGTTCGATGTGTATTTTAGTTATTAATTATTTCAAATGTGGTATAGTTATTTACTGTGTCATAATCCAAAGAATATACTAGTAAATCCTGCTTCAAGTTTATCTTTTTTTCTTTTATTTAAATGCATCATGAAGTTAATTCTGTTATCTAGTAATGATTGAACAAATATTTGTTTAATTAAGAAATAGTCATACTTTAATTACATGTTGTGGTAAATTACATAATAATAAACACGATCCACATTCTAAGTTGCCTATATTAATTGTAACTTGGAGAATATAGTTAGAATTATTAGTCCAATTATTTTTTCAAGTAAATTGCATTATTTTTCCTATTGTCCTGAATATATACATCCCTAAGTTGAGAGTGTTTTTCACTCAAGCAAATTTCAGTCTAGTATTCTGTCAAATATTTTTCTCCTTGTTTGGAATTAGTTGTACAAATGTTGAATAACAAACCTTCTTTTCTGTTTCTAATTGATCCTTTTTTAACATTACAGAGACTTTATTAATGAAATATCAGAGCATCTGCTAGAGATCTTTTTACTAAAAAATTGTATTGTCTGAAGCCTCTTTAACAACTATCTGTTTGGGTTGTCATTGGCATTTTGGGTTCAAGTACTATATAGCAAGGAACCATCCCTTTAATTGAATTATATGCCTTACTAAATTACTGTCATTTTTGCAGCTCTTATTCAAGCTAAATCGTCCCATTGAGGCTGCATCACGGGGCTATTCATTCATAATAAGCTTTTCTAAATCCTTGTCATTGCGTGAGGTATTTGATTTACTGTTGATGGAATGCTCTGTTCACATGTGTATATTACTAAATATTCCAGTTTAAGTTGTATATTCCTTTTTTATCTCTCCCATTTTGACTTCAATATAATGTTTCTTGTCAGCGTATTCTTCCTTTTTGTATGCGTGAAGTCTGGGTAACAACTGCTTGCTTGTCTTTAATTGAAGCAACCACTTCTAATTATAATGCCGGACATATGGTGCCTGACATAGAGAAGGAGTTTTTCCGACTTCTGGGTGACCTATACTCTCTAGCTAGAGTTAAGGTAAGATTCTCATGAAGTTGGTAAAAATAGACTGGATAACTATTTTATTCTGATGCACCCTTCAAATGAGGCAACTCCAATGGACAAAAATGCACCATTTAGAAATGGAGTTGAATCAAAGGCAGTTTTTCCTCGTCATTTTCTCTGCCATGTGATTACCAAACTACATTGATATTATGTGGCATACCATTGTTAACTAGGTTGCTTTCTAAATGTTATATATCTTGGCAGTTCATGAGGCTTGCCTATTTAATTGGCTATGGAGCTGATATAGAAAGAAGTCCTGTCAACAGGTACATTTTTTGGTGATCGAAGACCGACATATTTTTGCATTTCCTTGATCTAGTCAGATTTTATTTCATTAATTAATAATGTAAGGCATGATCAGATACATCACAGCTGTGCTCCCTATTTCTTGTTTAATAATTGTTTCTTTCCCTTTAAGCAGTGCTTCCCTCAGCTTGCTACCTTGGCCTAAGCCAGCTATCTGGCCTTCAGTTCCTCCTGATGCATCAACAGAGGTGCTTGAGAAAGAAAAGGTAATGTAATAATAATTATGGGGATGATTTTACAATTTACGAGATTTTGTGACCCAACAGAGGTTGTAAATAACACAAAACTGTTCATCTCTTTATATATATATCACCATGATATCAACTGGTGCAGAGAGAGTATAAAATGGATCTTTATTTGGAATTTTTCTCCACTGACCCGGTACCTATGTGGTGCAGAGTAGAAAAAACAGAAATGAATGTAATACACTTCCACTGGTATTCGAGAGACCATTAATTTCTCCAGCAATACCCTCATACAATATCCGATGATTTGCCCTTCTCTCTTCTCCTTTCCCCTTCTGTAACTAAATGATTGGCTGTTACTCTTTTACATGGTTGCCTTCTATTATTCTAACAAAATGATTCACTGTTGTGTCTCTATTCCTCCTCACATAAACCTCCTTTATAGGGGGTTGTGGTCTATTGCACTATAATGCTTTTTCACACCTGTTAAAATTTAGTTGTATGTTAAAACTGATTACTGGCATTGGAAAATGTAGCTATCCCAAGCGCAGTTTCATGTGTATAAAAAAGAGGAGGATTGTCTGATGCAACCAGTAGCCAACATAAAATTTTGTAGAATATACTATGTAATTTGTAGCAGTCATGATATTCTTCTCTATGCTGGTCTGTCTGGCCTCCTTCGGTAAACAATTCGAAGGTTACTGGAATTGAAAGATATCCCCTAGAAGCCCACATATTTTACCAATCAAAGGCACTAATGAACATCATACGGCTGTGTTTTCATGCAACTGTTTCAAATTCCCTTTTTTCATAAACTTGTTCACTTAATTTTGGGTTATAGGAGTTCTGTCATTTCTTTTATTCCTGTATTATAAATTGAAAATATTATTTGAATTAGAAGTAGAAAAAAATTACTTGTTTTTTTGTAGGAACTGAATTTGCCGTGACTTGATGCAGAAAATGTTCTACCTAACTGATTACCCGCCCTCTCTCATTTCCCCTTGCTTCCCTTGTATCACACAGGCTCACAATACTTTGCACACTTGTGGCCACATATGCCGGATTGTTTTAGTCAATAATCCTTTCCCCTTTTGCCCTTATCCATATTGGAGCATACTAACACTTTAGCAGAATTTGAATCTCATTAAAATAGTAAGAAAAAAATTTACAAATGAAATGGGTTGAGTTGAGCTCGTACTATATGTTTTAATATTATTATTTGTTTCCCAAGAGTTTTACCCATCATATTTTTACCTTAAATGATGTGATCATATCTTTGCAGCTGATTCTCCAAACAACCTCCAGAACCAAGCACTTTGGTATCCTGAGGAAACCCCTGCCCCTTGAACCTACTGTACTTCTGCGAGAGGCCAACAGGCGTAGGGCTTCACTTTCAGCTGGAAATATGTCTGAAATGTTTGACAGTCGCCAGGGTCCAATGGATGGGTAATGAAATGCTATATAATTGTTACAGATGGATTCATTTTCCATGAACTGTCCAGAAATCCTATATTTCCCAATGCAATTTGGGCTTTTTATCAATCTGATTTGTATGCTGACAGATCAGGTTTCGATGCATCCACAAGAATGTCACCACAGAAAGGACATACAATTTCCATGTCACGTACCAATTCTTCACCTGGAAACTTTGATGGCTCAATTGGCCGACCGATGAGGCTTGCTGAGATTTTTATTGCTGCTGAGCATGCTTTAAAACAAACCATTTCTAGTCCAGAACTGTGGAAATCGTTATCATCATCTGAGGAGTTTGAGGTATCATCTTAGCGTGATGGATAGTAAAAGCTCAATGGAATTATTTTCTAGGATACCTCATTGAGAGTTTCTAATAACTTATATCCATGTCTGTGATTGTGTGTTTTACATTTTCTTCCTATTGAATGCACCTTGTAAACATGTTTTGAATATTTTACTTCTACTTGATTGATATGTATATTGGTTATGGGCAGCAAAAATATTTAGAGCTGACTAAAGGTGCTGCTGACAATTACCATCGTTCCTGGTGGAAAAGACATGGTGTTGTCCTTGATGGTGAGATAGCTGTTGTCGCTTTTAAGCATGGGAAGTTAGATCAAGCTGCAGAGTCATATGAGAAGGTTTGTGCACTGTATTCTGGTGAAGGATGGCAAGATTTGTTGGCTGAGGTCCTTCCCAATTTAGCAGAGTGTCAGAAGATGCTCAATGATCAAGCTGGCTACTTATTATCTTGTGTGAGGTTACTTTCTCTTGATGACGAATTATTTTTGACCAAGGAGCGCCAAGCCTTTCAGTCAGAAGTTGTTCGTCTTGCTCATAGTGAAATGAAGGACCCTGTACATCTTGATGTATCATCATTAATTACATTTTCGGGAAATCCTGGGCCTCCTTTGGAATTATGTGATAGGGATTCTGGTATCCTTTCAGTTACTGTATGGAGTGGGTTTCCAGATGATATAACTCTTGATTCAATCAGTCTTACATTAAATGCAACATATAATACTGATGAAGGTGTAAAGGTATTTGTTGTAAAGAGCTATTTTACTCTTTTCAACTACAGTATGAAAAGTATATATTTTTTAATTATTTCTTCTCTGTATAACTCATTTATTTAAATTGTTTTAGGCATTGAAGAGTTCTACAGCTATTGTGTTACACCCTGGTCGGAATACTATTACCTTAGATCTACCACCTCAGAAACCAGGATCTTATGTACTTGGAGTTCTTACTGGGCAAATTGGGCAGTTGAGGTTTAGATCTCATAGTTTTTCAAAAGTTGGTCCTGCAGATAGTGATGATTTTATGAGTTATGAAAAGCCAGCTAAACCCATTTTGAAGGTAGACTTTTAGCAAATGAAAAGAGAAATGGAGTGTGACAATTCAATACAAGCTAGGGATTTTATATTATTTCCTTCCTTGTTTCCCTCTTGATTAGTACATAACTTATGTTTTCAGTAGTGCTGATTATCTTTTCAGTGACAAAAAAAAAAAGAATAGAGTTAGTTGTCCATAATGCCTTTTTATCTTTTTTTAGGTTTTCAAACCTAGAGCCCTTGTTGATCTTGATGCTGCTGTTTCATCTGCTTTGTTGATAAATGAACACCAATGGGTTGGCATTTTAGTTCGACCAGTAAAATACTCCCTCAAAGCTGCTGTCTTGCACATCGATACTGGTCCAGGGTTGGAGATTAAAGAGTCACATGTAATTGAGATGGAAAGCTATCCTGGTGTTTTACAGAATGAAGATGACCAGGTGCAGAATGACGGTTCTCAAATAAATTCTGATCGAAAATTTGAAAGTTTAACACTTAATGATGGTAAAATAGAATTTCCGAATTGGGCAAGTGACACTCCTTCTATTCTTTGGGTTCTGGTTCGTGCCATCAGTGACACACTCAGCAGAGGATCTTCTTCAGGTTAAGATGGTGACACAAGTTTTAATGGCTCCATACAAGTACTTTTAAAATTTAACCATAAATACTTATTTTGGTTTCTGTTTCCAGCCACAACAAGGAGAGAGAGTATTGTAGATGGAATGAGAACAGTAGCTCTGAAACTTGAATTTGGAGCATTCCACAATCAGATATTTGAAAGGTTTTTCCATTTTCCTTCATTCTTGTATTTTAATCTACATAATATAACATAAGCTGTTGAATTTTGTCATGCATCCGACTTTTAGATACTCTGCCACTAGTTACTTAATAATCTCTTACCTTGATATCCAGGACCCTAGCAGTGCATTTTACATATCCTTTCTATGTGAGGACACGTGTTACTGATAAATGCAATGATGGTACCCTGCTTCTGCAGGTATGGATATTTATTTTCATAATGGTTTAATTTCACTTGATTATGAACAATAGCCTGAGATGAATTAAAAAAAAATAATGGAATCAAGACATTAAATATAGTCCCATCCATCGCATTTTGTGTCAAAATTGGAAATAATACATCCATGGTTTTTTTTCATATGAATATTGAATTTGTAAATCTAAAGGAGTTTTCATTTGCTTAACCATCATAAAAAAATACGTAGTTTTAGCTTTCATTTTGTTTACAGTAGTATTGTTAAATGCTAATTTATGCACCTTCTCCTAACAGCTTAAGTTTTTAATACAGTTGGGTTAATGACATGATATGAGAGAATTGATCATTGTTGTTCCCATTCTTCTAATAAGAAATAGAATTTAAGCAAAAGGTTGGAGGCCTGTGCATTGTCCCCACTTCAAGCCCAAAGGGGCTCTTGCATTGCATGGTATGTTAAATGTCAGCATAAAACCATTCGTGTGCCCTTACCTAACAACTTAGAGGGAAGGTATCATATTGTATTCCCATGAATCACATTCCCAAAAATATTATAAATAGAAATGTTATCCTTGGATATATATAAAAAAAGTGTTTGGTTACGTTTTGGTATTCTAAGGAATACCATTATAATTTTAAAAAATTTAAATAAAACATAAGCAAAAATCGAAGTTAAAGGCATGTTTACATAACTTCCAGTATGATAGGTCTGATATCTCTGCTGAATTGAATATACCTCTTATTAATATGAATTGACGTATCTATGAGATAGTACAAAATTTCCTCGCACAGTGTAATGACAATACACTTTACAGAATACACTTTACAGCTGGAAGCAATCTTCCCAATCCTACCCTTTCTCTCTCCAATCGAGAAAACTCCTTTCCTTTCTCTTTTTCTTTTTTTTATTAACTCGTTTTTTCTCTCCTTTTATATTTTAACCTATATCTATCATTACTCCCCCCCAGAAGCTTCACCTTGTCCTCAAGGTGAAATGTAGGAAATTCTTGGGATATAACTTCAGCTAATTCCCAACTACTCTCCGTAGGTGGAAGATCTTTCCATTGGATGAGGGCTTCCATCTTTCCTTGATTGTTGGTTCGTGTGTCCGAGTAATTGAGCTGGTGACATAATTAATTCATGATCTTCTGTTAATGAAGCTGGTAATGGTTGAGGATCCGTCGATGGCTGAATGGTTTTCTTTAACAGTGAAACATGAAATACTGGATGTATTTTGCTGTGTGGAGGTAATTCCAATTTGTAGGCAACCTGTCCAATTCTATCAATCACCTGGTAAGGGCCATAAAATCGCGGAGCTAACTTCTCATTTGGGCGCTTAGCCAAGGATTTAAGCCTATAAGGTTGTAGCTTCAAATATACCCAATCTCCCACTTGATACTCAACATCCCTACGATGTTTATTGGCCTGAACTTTGTTTTGATTTTGAGCCTTAGCTAGGTTCGCTTTTAACTCCTTAAGAATGTCATCCCGCTCCTGTTGTAGTAGATTAACGCTGTCAATCTTTGAAGGAATTGTAGATCCTTTCAACAACAAGGGTGGGTCATGGCCATAAAGGGCTTTGAAGGGAGTCATTCTAGCGGAAGCATTGTAGTTGGTATTAAACCAAAATTCAGCCCATGGAAGCCATTGTGGCCATTTCTGAGGTTGTGTTCCTGTCATGCAACGAAGATATGTCTCGAGACAGCGGTTGACTACTTCGGTTTGGCCATCGGTTTGGGGATGGTAAGCTGTACTAAACTTTAATTTGGTCCCAGCTTGTCGAAATAATTCCTTCCAAAATTTGCTTAGGAAAAGTTGATCTCTATCTGAAATGATTGTAGAAGGAAACCCGTGAAGTTTAACTACTTCTTTCAAAAAAACCTGAGCTACATCTGCTGCAGTAAAAGGATGTGCCATGGAAAAGAAATGGACATATTTGGTAAGTCGATCAACTACAACAAATATAGTGTCTTTCCCTTGAACTTTAGGCAATCCCCCTATAAAGTCCATTGAAATATCAGACCAAACTTGAGTGGGTATAGGGAGAGGTTGCAGTAACCCTGCTGGAGCCAACGTGTCCGCTTTATTTCTCTGACATTCTGCACATAGGGTCACAAAGTCCTTAATGTCTTTCTTCATTCCCTCCCAATATACCACTCCTGCCACCCTTTTAAATGTTCGGAAAAATCCACTGTGCCCCCCAATGGAGATTCATGCAAATCTTTAATTATAATAGGAATACGTGAGTACGTGCGTGGTAAAACCAGTTTGTCCATATAGAAAAGTTTTCCTTTTACCCATTTGTAACCCTTACGGGATGTTGAATCCACTAACAAGTCTTGAATTATGGAAGTGAGTTTGGAATCTTGTTGCATCTGATCTTGCCAATCTTCCCATTCCTCACTTTGGAGTGTAGATAAAGATAAAAAATATCCTTTTCTTGATAATGCATCTGCCACTGAATTTTCCTTTCCTGCACGATATTGGATCTCAAAATCATATCCAATCAATTTTGAAGCCCATTTAAACTGCTCCTCAGTCAACAATCGTTGGTCAGTAAGAAATCGCAAACTTTTCTGATCAGTGACTACAATAAAGTGTCCTCCCATTAAGTAATGTTTCCACTTATGTATGGCCTGAACAACAGCCATGAGTTCCCGTTCATAAACTGATTTATTCTGCCCCCTTTCCGATAGTGTTTGGCTCCAAAAAGCTAATGGTCTTCCTTCTTGCATTAGGACTGCCCCTAACCCTTTACTAGATGCGTCAGTTTCCACAATAAATGGTTTAGTGAAATCTGGAACAGCCAATGTAGGAAGTTGAGTGACAGCTGATTTGAGTTGTTCAAAAGCATCTTGAGCCCCTTTATTCCAATGAAACCCATCCTTAGTCAATAATTGTGTTAATGGTTTAGCTATTTTGCCGTAGCCCTGAACAAAACGGCGATAATATCCCGTTAAACCCAAAAATCCTCGTAATGCTCGACACATCTTTCGAATAGGCCAACTCTGCATTGCCTCAATCTTCTTGGGGTCCGCTGATACTCCATTTCCAGAAATAATATGGCCTAAATACTCTAGGCTGGATTGACCAAAACTGCATTTTTTTTATTCAACTTCAATTGTTGAATTTTCAATACCTTTAGGACCTCCGCTAAATGCTGCCCATGTAGTTCCACATTAGAACTGTACACTAATATGTCGTCGAAGAAAACAAGTACAAATTTCCTCAAATAGGGCTTAAGTATGGTATTCATAAGAGACTCGGAAGGTTGCGGGGGCATTAGTCGGTCCAAAAGGCATGACCAAGAACTCATAATGGCCCTCATGAGTTCGGAATGCAGTCTTCTCCACATCAGATTTGCGCATTAGAATTTGGTGGTACCTCGATTTCAAATCCAACTTCGAAAATATAGTTGCCCCGACCAACTCATCCAATAATTCCTCAATTACTTGGAATTGGAAACTTATTAGGAATTGTTATCTTATTCAAAGCTCTATAGTCGACACAAAAACGCCAACCCCCATCTTTCTTCTTAACCAATATTATAGGACTTGAGTAAGGACTAATGTCTGGGCTTAATGATTCCAGCCTGCAACATTTCTTGCACTAATCTCTCAATCTCATTCTTTTGCTGATGAGAATATTTATATGGTCTAAGATTAGGAATTGAAGCACCTTGTTGTAGGTGAATAGAATGGTCATGGCTTCGACTAGGTGGTAAGCCTTCAGATTCTTGAAAAACGTCATCATTGATGGCCAAAACCTTACGTATTTCTGCAGGAATCTCCGGAGTAGTAAGATGTTCCAAATTCTCTTCCCATTTGAGTAAGTAGCAAGAGCCTTCTTCCTTCCATTCATGCCATAAAAATTTCAACGAAGATTGAGACCTGGACAATGTAGGATCTCCAGATATTATTTGTTCAGTATCGCCCTTACCAATAGTTAGCCTTAATCTTCCAAAATCAGCTTTAACTTCTCCCAAGCTTGATAACCATTCCAATCCCAACACAATATCAGCCCCACTCAAATCAAAAACATAAAACTGTTGCTGCACTTGATATCCTTGTAAGTTCGAAGAAATCCAGAGCATCTCCCTTGACAACGAACCTTGTGACCATCTCCTACTTCCACCACAAAAGAGGGTGTATCTTCTCGAAGCAACCCACATCCGGAAATGAGATTAGAAGAAATAAAATTATGAGAAGCTCCGCAATCCAATAACATGACCACTTTTTCTCGACCCAATGTTGCCCCAAATTTTCCACGACTTCTTAGTAGTTAACCCCTGCCACCGTACATAATGATAGCTGCAAAACGGGCTCCTGCACACTCGTTCATATTGATCTCCGAGTTGGCTAAAGAGGTCTCTAATCCAGAAATTTCTTCTTCGTCAATAACAACATATGAAGTTGTTTATTGTTGCGGACATGATACGGACCATATTTTTCATCACAACGAAAACAAAGGCCTCTCTTGATTTTATCTTGTAATTCTATCTCGGACAACTTCCTGAAAGGAGCCCCTCTAGCACGTAGCCCCCCACTATTACTGCTAGATACACTAGCAGTATCTGCATTTTTACTTTTTCCTTCATTGACCGATCCTCCTAAACTATAATTTTCTCTGGTTAAACTTCTAGTGACCGTATAAGGCTTCATAGAACCAGTTGCTGAACGACTCCCAGAATAATAAGAAACACCTTTTGATGTCACCAAAATTTTTTCTTCCACTAATTGAGCCTTACACATTAATTCTGTCAGAGTTTGAGGGTCATACAACTTGACCTCAGCTTTGATTTCATCTTTTAACCCATTTAAAAAAATACCCACCAAATAATCTTGATGTATTCCTTTTAAAAATCCCGCATATTGTTCAAATTGCTCAATGTATTCCTCCACTGTACCTTTTTGAGATAATCCAATCAAGATTTCAAAGGGATTCTTGAGCATATTCGGTTGGAATCGCCGTACCACTGCAACTTTAAATGCTTCCCAAGATGGATGTGGATTACAGGTTTCCCACCATTGAAACCAGTTTAATGCCTTTCCTTCTAATGCTACCATGACCGCTTGCATTTTCTCCTCTTCCGAAACAGCCTTTAATCGAAAATAACGTTCTAAATGGATTGGTCCATCCATACGCTTCATCTCCTACAAAAACTGGTATATCTAGCTTCCTCCAACGTGAACCAGATAAATTTGATTCCGTAACAGAACTATTGAAATCTGGTTGACCATTTAATCCGTCCCCTGACTTTGCCCCAAATCTTTCAGTTTCTTTCTCTTTACTTGCTAAAGATTCTACCACAAATGTGAGCCCTCGAATCGAGTCTTCCAAACGTTGGAGACGTTCTTGCTGCTGATTCTCAATCCGGTCCCGTTCTTGCACAAGATCTTGAAGTATCTTGTCAACGCTATCTAATCTGGCCTCCATTCTTGTATTAACCATTCCTTGATGCAGCCCTTCCCACAGCCAAAGTCAAGACTACTGATACCAATTGATAGGTCTGATATCTCTGCTGAATTGAATATACCTCTTATTAATATGAATTGACGTATCTATGAGATAGTACAAAATTTCCTCGCACAGTGTAATGACAATACACTTTACAGAATACACTTTACAGCTGGAAGCAATCTTCCCAATCCTACCCTTTCTCTCTCCAATCGAGAAAACTCCTTTCCTTTCTCTTTTTTTTTTTATTAACTCGTTTTTTCTCTCCTTTTATATTTTAACCTATATCTATCACAGTATTCCCAAGGGAATATTGCTTTCCCGGCCCGCTCCATGGGAATGAAAATGTAGAAAAACACAGTAAAAGTATAAGTTACAGCTTTCCCAGGAATAAACAATCCTGGGAATAGATTTTCAAATGTTATATAACAAACATGGAAATTTTACATTTATGGGAATGAACTCTTAATCCGTGAAACAAACACACTCTTATGCCTTGGAGAATGGTTGGTTCATGACAAGTATCAATGTTCTGTAAGGTCAGTGACAAGGTTGCAGTTGCAACTCATTGTAAGATGCTTCAATCAGACCATTAATGATTTGTTACATATCAAACCATTCGGTGCTTCTCCAAACAACTTGATTTTTTGTATGATTGGTTTGACATGTTATCAAAACCTCTATAACCTTCCTGCATTCTTCTAAATAAAATTTCTAAAACAGAAGTTGTTGTAGACTTGAGCACTGTCCATGTTTCAAGTTCCAAGCTTCTTGCATGAGGGGATGTATTAGATATAAATCATTCATATGCCTTCCCAAAGAACTGGAGCTTTTGGATGGTTTATTCTTTATGACAACGTTCAACTCGTAATATTATGTGAAAATCTGTGTTATTTTCAGCTTTCTACTTGTTTGAAGATTGTTATATATCTATACAAAAATGTAATAATGTTTTTTAAAGACACATTAACCACTAAAATTCCATGACTTCATCTCATTCTTTTTAGTTGATAAAGTACACAATGGTTCACGTGACTTTTAGGTAATACTTCACTCTGAAGTAAAGGCTACACTGAGCGTATATGATGCTTGGCTTGATCTTCAAGATGGATTTATTCATACTGGACAAACTGAGGGTAGACCTAATTCAAGTTTCTTCCCGCTAATCATATCTCCCACTTCCAAAGCTGGAATTTTGTTTAGTATCTGCCTAGACAAGACAAGTGCAGAAGGTAATTTCATTTTGTTGGGGAGGTCCTGAAATGATTTTATTGTTGCTTTTAATATTTTTACACCAAATAATTTGGTAATGCATTGATTAATAACTGCAGAACGTGGGAACTGTAATCCCAACCAAACATTTTTGTGGCCAATTGCAGCAGTCAATGACTCTACTAATATTTCTTTTTCTTTTGGAATTCAATATTGATCTATCTTAACAGGCAAGAAAAATGTTTGTTGGCTTTGTTCTTATATCTTTAACCTTTGTCTATGTTAAACACTAACATAGTGTTTGGTTGGAGGAAATGGCAAGGACAGAACGTGAGGAGTTTTTTTAAACCTTTCTCTTGCTTGGTTCAATTTTTAGGAGGGGAAATCTAATTTTTTCCCCCCTTCCAATATGGGGGGATTTGGAGGGAGGGGAAGTGATTTAAAACATTTTTAAGTGTATTAACCAAAATAAGCTTTATTTATCTTTTGAAATCCAAAATTAAAAGGGAATGAAAGTGAAATTTTTTAAATCTCTTCCTCCACTTGTGAACCAAACAATTGAAGGACTGCCTCCCCTCCTCTCCTCTCAACAAAATATATTTCTAATTAAAACCTCTCCCCTCTATCCCTTCATAAAATCCCTCCCCTCCATTAGAAAAACCCTAATGGTTTACTTTCTAGTCTTTTTTAGTTCCACGGGCACAATTGATTATCAATTTTGATTTTTGACTATATTACTACCTTCTTGGTCATATTTTCATTTTAATTATTATGTTTTCCTTTTTTACCAATTAAGCATGAGTGGTATGTCAATAGAATGTTATACTATAGTTATATTAAAGCATTATAGCATTCTTTATTTTTCTGGGGTCTTAACATGTTGAAAATTGACAATCTGAGTGATATCCTGATTAACCTGTAGTACACATATTTGTCCCAATCGAAATATTTTCTTGTGGAAACTATTATAGCTCGATTTATGTAGTTAATTAGCTGATTTTATTTTTCAAAACAAAAATGCAGAAGCCAGGAAGCAACCGGAAAGTATATTAAATATCAAATACGGAGTTTCTGGAAATAGATCAATTGGGGCCCACCCTCCTGTCATGAATGAATCTACTGGGGTTGATGGTGCCAGACAAGAGTTAATCTTCAGGAGTGCAATTACTTTGCAAAGGCCTGTGCTTGATCCTTGTCTAGCTGTTGGTTTTCTTCCTCTGCCTTCAGATGGCCTAAGAGTTGGACAACTAGTTAAGATGCAATGGAGAGTGGAAAGGTTAAAGGATTTGGATGAGGAAGGAGTTTCTAAACAGAATGTAAGTTCCTATATCTCTCGTGCTGCGGATTTCTAATAGCAGACTTCAGTTATTTATGTGTATTTTTAATTTTGGTTTCACTCCTATTAATTGAAGATACAAATACGACTTATTTGTGTCTTTGATATTTTTTGTACCATCCTAGGGACTTTAATGCCGGATACTAAACCAATATTTTGGGAAGAAATCGAGACAGGACAGAAAAAAGAGTCTCTTATTTTCTCTTAAAACAATAGAGAACTGGTTACATTTTTGCCCCTCTGATGTGTGATACAACTGAGCCAATACAGATGTAATAAGATATAACCTTACGTTGTTAGGGAACAACAAATAATGCAAGAAATAAAAGCGTTATTTGTACAAATACAAAGATTCCATTTATATTTTTTTGCATCAATTTTAATGGGTCTATCATAAAAAAAGAAGCTCCTTTTAGTGGTGGTTTCTTCCATGATATTATCTCCAATCTTCCAAATGTAGTGACATATTTCACCTCTTCTTGTTCCACCCTCAACGATTATATTCCTCCAACCTTTACCCTACAACTAAATGGTTATTCTCATAGAATGATGTCAACATGCTCCATGCTTGTCTTTGGAGAAGCAGGAGAGGAAACTTTGGTTAAATATATGGTGTCTTGTTTCAGTCCTGAATCTGGATAAAATACTGTGCGATTATTGCGTGATCTTCAACTTCTAATGTATTCTGTTTGATTCCACAATTTGTTTTTTATTTTGACAGGAGGTGTTATATGAGGTAAACGCAAATTCTGGAAATTGGATGATAGCCGGGAGGAAAAGAGGATACGCATCTCTGTCCACAAAACAAGGTACTAATTGACAGTTTGGAAAATATTGTTTTCAGGGATTCAGAGGAACATACTTTTCAGTGTTGAATAACCTGCAATGTGCTACGCCTTTGTTGAAATTTGAATTTCCTTCTTGTCATGACAGGCGCAAGAATTGTTATCTCAATATTATGCATGCCGCTGGTGGCTGGTTATGTTCGCCCTCCCCTATTAGGGTTGCCAGATGTTGATGAGGCAAATATAAGTTGCAAACCTGCTGGGCCACATCTGGTTTGTGTTTTGCCACCGCCTCTCAGCTCTTCATTCTGCATTCCAGTTAATTCATGAGTTTTCACTATGTTATAACTCAAGTTTGATTGAGTTTGTGTTCTATAGGAGTTTAGGATGTTTGAGAAATTTTTTTATTTCCGTAAAGTAGGAAAGTGTAACTTTGAGCCTCTTAATTTCATTGCATGAAAAATACTCCCTAGTTGGATTTTTGTTGCCTGTAGCCTCCATGCAGTTTTCAAAAAGTTACAGCAGCAGCAACCCTCGCTATGTACAGTAGAATTTTGTGCTCTTGTACGATAGACAGATACACGGATCATAACATTCTTTTGTCTCATTATTATCATATATAAAATTATAAAAGTTAGTAGGAACCACCATATACAATTTCATCATTTTGCTTCCCTAGAATCGAACATTTTCTTGATTCCCTCCTCTTCCTAACTTTCTCCCATAGCATTTGGTTAAATTTTGTGGTAGTAAAGTTAAACTAATTAGACGTATAATGCTTGGATGACTGCTTCATGATTGGTTGTCTGTTTTTCAATATCATTTGACTGATTCTGCGTGCTGACTTTAACATCAATCAATATTAATTGTATATGTTGACGAAGTTTTAGTAGTGTAAAGGTAAGAATCTTACTCTACTCTTTTGCATATAGATTTGGGTGGGTATTGACATATATAACCAGCTTTTACAATCGGACTGAGAACCGATGATGACATATGCAATCAGATTTAATAAAATAATATTTTTATAAATAATAAATATATAATAAATTTATTAATAATATTTTTTATATAAAAAATAATAAAGATTATTGTTATAATTATCGAAAATTGTAATAAAAATTATAAATATATATAATATATTAGAAAATAAAAGATGAATAATTATTAAAATAAAATAAAATAAAAATATAATAAAATAATTATTAAAATTTGATTATTTAGAAAAATAAATTGATTTTTAGTGGTTTGATGGGTTGAATTGATTGGTCCCGTACGGTTTTAAAAAACTATGCATGTAATTCAGGTTTTCAATCTTTAAAATAGAAAGTTTACACTTTTAATTATGACACTAACGCTTAAATCATGAACAAATATATAATGGCCGGATGTTTTGGACAGTTGTGTTTATTTCATAGTCAAATATGCGATACCGTTTCATTTAATAGTAAAGATGTTTTTGGAAGTTCGATCTCTATCTTTGTTGTCGGAGGTTAGGATACATGAACAAAGATAAATATTACTTTTTATTATTTTTAATAAATTTATTAATTTTTTATTAATATTTTTCCATCGAAAATGATTTAATAACTTGTTGTCTTTTTTCTTTTACAATAAATTTAATTAAAACAATAAGGATATAACTGATAAAAAGACAATTAATATAATCTTAAATTTTATATAGACATTTGTTTATAAATAGATTTTTTTAATTGACATTAATTCTTATTTCACATTTATGCAATTCTTTCTTTGTGATTTTTTTTTCATTTTTAATTATTAGATGCTGATCTCAATCGTCAAATTAAAATTTTCTACTATAAAATGCTTAAATATAGTGTAAATATGTTTTTTCATTTATATGTTCTTAAATATAATTCTTTTTAACAATACTGGTATATTATATGAGGATAAAAAAAAGAAAGTAGTTTACTTTGGTCTCGTCTCACCTTCGATCTTGCCAAGAGCAGGTTGGGGTAGACTAGTTCGTTATAGTTATGACGATTACAGACTTTGACTCACCCTACTAAAGGACGGGTTGACAGGTGACCCATCATATATTTTTTTTAATTTTCTTATCCTTTTTACATCAAATTTTTTAATAAATTTAAATAATAAGATTATCATTTGTTTGTCAACCATTCAATATATATATATATATATATATATATATATATATATATATTTCAAGCTAATAATATAAATTAATACATTTTTTTAATAAATTATATTTTAGAATAATCAAATTTAGATAAAATTTATATAACAATAAATTAATGTACGTAATAGATCAAAATTTATTACATCTCTATTTTTTATATTGAAAAGTTCAAACATCTAAAATGAAAATTAAATTATATTTATTTATTTGATAAAACTTCACATCGTTCTCCCTTAGAGTAATTCTCACATCTTCAATTCAAGTCATTAGGACAAGAACAATCAATGTCCAGGTTAGAAGATCCCTCCACTTTTTCATCTTTATCATTATCTTCCTTATCTTCAACAATACACAGAATTGAAGAAAGAAAAAATTAGTAAAAAAAATAAGGATTATAAAAAATAAAAATAAATAATATTTGAATTAAATGAATTCCTTTCATAAAAGTCATGTTTCCAATTTAAAAATTATTGCTTCCACATTCTCGGGTAAAAGACTATTTATGTACTTATTACTAATCCTATAACCACTGAATACAAATTCGAAGCAAATCGTAGTAATAGTCCTTAGTCAATAATGAAAGATAAGAAAAATGTTGGCTATTATTCTTCCACCATTGTAGAACATCCATATGTTCTGTAAAATCAAAATTCAATGCTAGCTCATCCAAATATAAATAAAGTTGGTTTCTTCCAATTCTAGATGTAGTTTGAAGCTTGTGCTTTTTAAATTCCTAATATGATAAATAGATAAAGAAGTTAAAATTATTAATTAAAAATTCATAACAAATAATTGACTTAGAGTAAAATACTAAGAGAAAAAAAAATGAAACCTTAAGAAAGTAATAAATATAAAAGAGAGAAAAAAATGTATGAGGTATATATGATTTTTACCTTACATGGAGATGAAGAAAAATAAGCAAGAAGGAGATGATAAACACGAGGAGAACAGAGATGGGGTTTCTGCTTGAGAAAGGAAAGTGTTTCCCATAATGTGTAAGTGAGAGTGAGACTTTTTGAATTCTCTTAGTAGTGAAACACTGATACTTTTTGAATTCTCTTCGTATTGAGGCAATGAGACTTTTAAAATTCTCTTTTCACAAAATTTTATATTATATGTTGCTTTATGACTTACTATATCACAATAAAAAAAATTATTAATAAAAAGGGTCGTGGGCTGGCTTGCCCGCGAGTTGGTCCAGCGGGTTGATAGGTTTGGCGAGGCGGGTCAGAACGAGTTGAAAGTATTAACCTGCCTTACCATATTTATAGCGGGGTGGCAAGTCTTTCAAGCTAACAAAGAATCTCACCCTCCGAATTCAAGAGTTCCTTTCAAGCTAAGGCATGCTATTATGATCATTGTTGCATATTTAATCAAGTTAAAACTTATCACCATTGGAAATATAACTTAACCTTTAATTTGCTATCAATAAATTTTAGTATTGTCCCTACTTTACTATCTTGTTGTACATGTATAACCTTTTAATATATTTATGCTTTCTAGTTTGTGTTTGGTCATATCTACGATTTTCATGTTATATAAGGCAAAAAAAAAAAAAAAAGTTGATTCCATAACCATGTGAAAGCAAGTTGCATTGACAATAGTTTAGATTTTTCCCTTGTTAACAAGATTGCCATTGATCACTAATTAGACATTTTTTCCTAACACTAATCTTAATTCCCTTTCACTTGCTTCTCCTAGAAGATTCCCACTCTACCATGCATTTTCTTAATACCAAAGGTACATTCCTCCTCTCACTTATAAATAATGAATAGGTATTCACAAATGAAGTCGTACAACAGAGATGAGAGAAGACAAGCTGTGGATAAGAAGTCAACAAGCTTTTGCAAGCCAACTTTATCTGAGAGGTACCATAAACTACATGGCTAGCCAATGTAGTTTTGGTCAAAAAAGCAAATGAAAAATGGAGAATGAGTACCAATTACATAGATCTAAATAAAGCATGTCCAAAGGACTCGTACACCTTACCAAGCATCGATCGCCTATTCGACAGCGCATCTGACCAAAAACATCCTTGGTTTCCTAGATGCCTACTCGGGGTATAACCAAATAAGAATGTACCCACCTAACAAGGAGAAAACGACTTTCATTATAGAAGGTACAGACTACATTTATAAAATCATGTCCTTTAGATTAAAAAATGCAGGGTCACTTACTAGTGACTAATGGATCACATACTCAAAATACGTAGCAGAGACATCGTGAAAATTTACATGGACGACATGGTAGTCAAGTCAAAACACCAAGCTGGTCACCTCACCCATCTACAAAGAGTTTTTGATGAGATTAGAAGATACAATGTACGCCTCAACCTAGGGAAATGTGTATTCGGTGTAAGAAGAGGCAAACTCCTAGGATTTATGATCACCCAACATGATATCGAAGCAAATCCAGATAAGTGCAATGCTATACTTGCCATGCAAATTCCTCATAACCTAAAAGATGTACAACGACTAAACAGAAAACTTGCAACATTAGCCAGATTCTTCCCAAAGCTAGCCGAGAAAGCTAAACCCTTTTTCAAATTGTTGAGAAACTCAAAACAATTTGATTGGACAAAAAAAATGTGAATCCATGTTCGAAGCTATCAAAAAGGATATTTCATCCTTACCAACCTAATAAGTTCTCTGTTGGGTTCCTCTCTTTTTCTTTACATGGTAGTTACAAAGCCAGTCATCAGCTCAGTGCTTGTGCATTGCAACGATACATAACAAACTCCAGTCTACTTCACCAATTAAGTTCTACAAGCAACAAAGTGATGATACTCCACTATAGAAACATTAGTGATGGTGTTAGTAAACTTAACAAGAAGACTTTGATTGTACTTCCAAAGCCTTAGTGTCACAATCAAAACTGATTATCTAATCAAACAAATGTTGCAGAAATTCGAAATGGTCGGACTAATGATAACATGGTCAGTAGAACTCTTTGACTTTGACTTATGATTCAAACGTCGAGAACTAACGAAAGTAGAGAGAGGTACGAATGGTAGACTCTTAGTGTGGACGACTCATTTAATAGAAAAGGAAGCAGAGCCAGGATATTACTCGAGGGGCTCAATGACATTGTTTTGAAACAAGCACTGTGATTTGAATTCCCTACTTTTAATAACCAAGTCGAGTTTGAAGCCTTTATTTCCAACTTAAGA